TACAGTTCGATGATACACACTCTAAGCTCCTCGCCTCTGTCTTTCAAATGCTAGGCTTACAGGTATGCGCCACCACACCTGGTTTCTGAGGGGCTGAGGCTCAAACCCAGGCCTTCATGCATGCTAGGCAAGCGTTCCCTACTAAGCTGCATCCCTGCCCCAGAATGGGTTCTTTAAGGGCCGTGACATTTTTTAATGCTTATTTAGTTGTTTGATGTGCGTGTGACTGTATACCATGTGAGGTCAGAAGAAGATGGCAGATCTGGACTTACAGGGCTGTGACGTGGGTGCTGGGGTTTAAACTCAATTCTCTGCAAGAGTAAGATGTGCTCTTAGCCACTGAATCATCTCTCCAGCCCCCGAGTCTATGAGTTTCATAACTCACTTGTGTTTGTGTGCATGCAGGTGCATGTCAAGGTCCATGTACGTGGAGACCGGAAGAAGTCAACCTCAGGTACAGTCCACCTTTTTCATAGACAGGGTCTACTCGACCTGGAGTCTGCCAGGTGGACTAACCTGGCTGGCTATAATAGAGCCCCAGGGGTCCACCTGTCTCCACCTTTGTATCCATGACCAGACATCTGGGGATCAGACTCAGGTCCTTATGTGTGTGTGACAAAAACAGTCTACTGACTGGAACATATTCCCAGAACTACAGGTCACTTTTAAAAAATATTTACTCACTTTTTATATGTATGTATGTTTTGCCTACATGTATGTCTGTGCACCACATGTGTGCCTGGTGCCCACAGAGACCAGAAGAGGGTGTCACAGCCCCTGAAATAGGAGTTATAGACAGTTGTGAGTTACCATGTAGATGCTGAAAATCAAATCCTGGGCCTCTGAAAGAACAGCCAGTGTTCTTAACCACTGAGCCATCCCCCCAGACTCCTATATCTCATTTTTGACACCCTTTTTACTTCTAATTACAGACTCCCTCCCTGCCTCCTTCTCTCTCTTCCTCTCCCTTCCTTCATTACAGGTCTCACTATGTAAAACTATGCTACCCTTGAATTCACAATCCTCTAGAGCAAGCTCTGTTTCTGTTTTCAAGTAGAGAATGATGTTTAGAAACCATTTGCCCATATTGAATAAGTACGTTTGCCAGGAAAGCCCCTTCTAGAAGATGAGGGCGGATGCACACAGCCATGCTCACATCTCCACAGCACTGCTGTGGAAGACAAGAGATACGCAGTGGACAGTTTATAGAGAGCTAGACAGAGCGCCACACTAAGGAACCCACCCTGCATCCCATCAACAAGCAGAGACAACAGGAGAGTTTTAAATGATGGAGAACCAATCAGAATGGTCACCTGGAAATCTAAAACAATGGCAGAGGAGAGAGAGGAGAAGCGCATCTGAAATGAATTCATGAAACAGAGTCACTCCCTAGGGCTTGGGTGGACATGGGGGGTCTGGAACTGAGGACATGTGCCAGGCATCTGGCTCAGTGAGCTGGCAGATGGAGGCACCCACAGAACTCTCCAGGCTGAGGATACACATGACTGTCTTGGAGTAGGTGGATGTTAGGATATGCTTTCAACGCTCACACTGTAAAAGCAATGATCAAATCTGTGGCACGAAAACAGGGCAACAAAATAAACTGTGACAGGTTTGAGCACTGTCCTAAGGAAAGTTCTGGAAGCCTTCCAACCTCTCAGGCAGAGATTTTCAGTGACTTGCCAGTGTGAATGTTTCCTTGGCAGCCTGCATCACCTAAGAAGCCATTACATACCAGCACAAGCCATTTAGCAGCCTACACTTAGAATAATAACTAAGCAGTCGCCCCGCTCTTCACCATATTTTCAAGGACAGATCACAGGTTTCATCAGCTCAGCCTTGTCTAGGCCTGTGGCTATGCCTAAACCCAAGGCTCCCATCACAAGGGAGCCTCCAGTCTGGCAGCTCATTTCATTCTGGCCAACAACAGGGGAGGTAACCAGGTTCCCTCCTTCCTAAAGTCACGGGTACACCGTTTTATCTTCTAATACCTGCAGGAATGTGCTTCCCCACAGCCTTTTTCTCAAAAATCAGCCAGATGTGAAAAAGCAGAGAAATCTGTTTATCATCACTAATATTTCCAAGCATTTCAAATGATACCCGGGTACATGGTAAGCATTTTATATGCCTTTTCATTTCATTCTCAGAGTGAGGCTGGGGAGATGTCTTGGTGGGTACAAAGGCATGAGGACCTGAGATTATAGACCCAGTACCCACATAAAAGCCAAGAGTGGTCACACATGTCGGTAACCCCAGCCCAGGGCTGTGGGGCAGCAGAGGCAGCCAGTCAGTCTCCCGGTGAAGTCCAAGTCTAGTGAGAGAGCCTGTCTCAAAAACTAAGGTAGACAGCAAAAGAAGACAGCTAATGCCAACCTCTGGCCTTCATACACACACACACACACACACACACACACACACACACACACACACACACACACGCACATAAACAAACGGACACACATACGCTACACAAGCATACACACAAAAATAAATAAGGAAATTTCGGAGTAACCACGTTGAAGTCTGGATTTGAAATGACCCCCAATGGCCCATGTGACAAAGGCTGTCTCCAGCCTATGACACTATTGGGAGATGGAACTCTTAGGAGGTAGATCCTAGTGAAAGGTCACTGGGGCCCCCAAGTGGGAGGGGCAGGATCTTAAAGGGAACTGTATGGCAGGTCCTCTCCTCTTCCCCTTTCCTCCCTGGCTGTTCCCACCATGATGGGCTGCCTCATCCCAAGCCCAAGAGACCAGTGATGGAGAGGACACCGATCATATTCTTGGTTCTCTCATATTTTACAACTGAGAAACATTCCATGAACTCATGGAGCTAAGTAGCAACAGAAGTGAGACTTGAAGCCAGGTCTGTCCAGCCCCCAGGCTCGAACAGGACAACTAACCTCAAGTTCCCATCCAGGAAGCCAGCTCTTAGTGACTCACTCATATGTCACTCATAACTGCCAGAGATACCTGTGTGTGAGCCTCTTTTAAAAACTAAGTATTTCTGGAGCTGAGATGGTTCAGTGGTTAAGAGCATTGGCTGTTCTTCCAGAGGACCCAGGTTCAATTCCCAGCACCCACATGGCAGCTAACAACTATAACTCCAGTTCCAGGGGATCTGACACCCTCACACAGACATTCATTCAGGCAAAACACCAATGTCATAAAAGAAAGAGATGGGGGAGGGAGGGAGGGAAGGAGGGAGAGAGAGAGAGAGAGAGAGAGAGAGAGAGAGAGAGAGAGAGAGAGAGAAGAAAGAAACAAAGAAAGGAAGAAACAAAGAAAGAAAGAAAGAAAGAAAGAAAGAAAGAAAGAAAGAAAGAAAGAAAGAAAGAAAGAAAGAAAGAAAGAAAGA